TAAGTGCGGCTTGGGACAGCTCGGGCTTGCTACCGATGGGCCTGGGCCAGGGGAGCGGCAGGGAAGGCGAGGCGGTGAGCTGAGAGGCTGGAGAGTCCGCGTGTGACCTTGTCGCGATGAAGTGCCACGAAGCGCTACTTCCTGCTCCCAGCTCACCGCCTCGCCTTCCCTGCCGCTCCCCTGGCCCAGGATCATCGGTAGCATGCCTGAGCTATCCCGAACCGCACTTGTCTCGGGTCTCCAAGCCCACACCGGCTAGAGGGCTCGAGATTGTCCCGGTGGACCCATCCGAGGCGATTGCGAGGGCATTTCGGAGGTCATTTATCGGCGCCACGCGATATGTCCCGTCCCGTCGTCCTCATGCACCACGGGCATGGGTTCAGTCCTGATCCACAGCCCTCATACACCAGGCGCATGGATGCAGTCATAATATGTAGGCCTTCTCTCCCACAGTTTTGAGCAATCGCCGCAAACATGCGCTTCTTGGCACTTGTGCGCGACACCGCGGTCACACACGCGCGGACTCTCCAGCCTCGCTCAGCTCACGCACCACCTCGCCATCTCTGTCGCTCTCCTGGCCCAGGCCCATCCGTAGCAAGCCCGAGCTGTCCCAAACCGCACTTATCTCGGGCCGTCAAGCTCACACCGGCTCAAACGACCCACATACGGGCCCTCACACGCACATTACAGATCATAGACGCCACCGAACCCGCCGCCCGGACGCGCGGGTACGCACCGCCGCGCGTGCCGTCGCCGCGAGTACGGGAGCGAGCACGCGTGTGTGCGCCGCGCCTTCGGCCGGTCGCCCTCGCCGCCGCCACAGCGCTGCCACGGCGGCAGCAGCCTCGGCGCCGCCGCCCGCCGCCGCCCAGACGCGCGGGTACGCCGCGCCGCGCGTGCCGTCGCCGTCGAGCGAGCGCCACGGTGCCGGTCGTCGCCGCGCGCGAGCACGCACGGCGCTCCTTCTGCTGCAGGCGCGGCGGGCAGCGCCCGCTACGACGCCTCGCAGGCTGAGCCTCGGCGGCGTCGAGGTCGGTCGCGCTCGCTCCCGCGGGCGCGGCGGTCGCCACCGATCCGGACGCGGCCATGGCGGCCCTCGCGGCCGGCGCGCAAGCCGCAGAGCCTGCCGGAGGTGCCACCCGAGCGGCGAGGTGAGTCGGTGGCGGCGGTGGCGAGGCCTATGGCGGTGCGAGCGGGGCTGATAGTGGCTCGTCGATAGTGCATCGGCTCGGAGGCTGCGATTAGCGGCTAATCACCGGGTGAACGCAACTGCGCCGCTCGCCACCAAAACGCCGCCGAGAGCCGCCGCCGGCTGCGTCGCGACCGCCGCCGCGCGGCTCGCGGCGGTGGACCCAGCATCTCCGCTCGGCGCCGCCTATATACTCGACCGAGACTCGGGTCACGGCCGCGAGAGCGACGGGCTGGTTGACGGCCGCCGGCGACCTAGCACGGCGCTGCACGCCGCAGAAACGCCGCCGAGAGCCGCCGCCGGCTGCCTCGCGACTGCCGCCGCGCGGCTCGCGGCGGAGGACCCAGCATCGTCACTCGGCGCCGCCTATATACTCGACCAAGACTCGGGTCACGGCCGCGAGAGCGACGGGGCTGGTAGACGGCCGCCGGCGACCTAGCACGGCGCTGCACGCCGCAGAAACGCCGCCGAGAGCCGCCGCCGGCTGCCTTGCGACTGCCGCCGCGCGGCTCGCGGCGGAGGACCCAGCATCGTCGCTCGGCGCCGCCTATATACTCGACCAAGACTCGGGTCACGGCCGCGAGAGCGACGGGGCTGGTAGACGGCCGCCGGCGACCTAGCACGGCGCTGCACGCCGCAGAAACGCCGCCGAGAGCCGCCGCCGGCTGCGTCGTGACTACTGAGCCCGCGCGCCGCGCGCGGGCGAGGGGAGCGGCGACGGGGCGGTGGGCGACGAGCCGCAGCAGCTGCGCCTGAAAATGAGGTGGCGGCGGGAACTAGAGCGTCATCTGCTGCCGTGCGGGCAAGCGATCACCGCCCTCGAGCGCGCCGCGGCAGTAGTCCGTCCGAACCAACGCGACAGCTCGGACCGCGCGCCGTGCTCGCGCGGCGGTGAGGGGGGTGGCGGTGGGCGGTGCCGGCGGCGAGCCGCAGCAGCGCAACGGCAACGCAAAGGCTGCGGCCTGAGAGCGCCGGAGAGGAGGCGCTCAAGAGGTGGCGCACCTCAACAGCGCTCCTCCGGAGCAATCGATTCGGAGACCTCGCCGCCGCCTCGCCGCGCGGCTGAGCCGGCACAACCTTCCGGGCCTTCAGGTCTCCACAGCGCCGCCCGCCACAGCGCGCGCTTTTTCTTTTTATCTTTTTAAAACGGGTTGCAAACAACTTATCCACTAGCTCTCGAACCAAAAAACAGAAAACAGTTGCGGAAGGCTCGAGTTGTGCTCTGATACAGACTACCCAACCCACAGGGCCACAGGTTGCAAATTTCTTGGTTGCAGCAGGCAGCCTGATCGATCGAAATAAATACAAGCCGGCAAAGCCGGCGGTCGCAGCCGTGCTCTAGAGAGATATCGCAGTCTCAAGTGAGCTTCCAGGCTGAGCCGGTGCAGAGTGTGCCGGAGCAGCCGGCGCGAAGAATAATCGTATCCCCAAGTGCCCCACGCCCCGTATTCGAACTCCTCGGCCTCGGCGGCAACCTCGTCTAGTGCCTCATCCGCCCTCTGCAATGAGTCTGCCGAATTGTCGCTCTCCGCTGCCGGTGCTGGCGTGTCTCCTAGGTAGCTGTTGAGAGCTTGCACAAACTCATCGAGTGAATGCACGACGACAAACACAGCACCCGCCCGAACCAACCGTGTGCGCCACTCCTGTTGGCGTTGCAGCCGAGCACCGGGTACTTTCACCTCGACTGCCAAGCCGATCTCGTTGAAGGCTCCTCGCCAGTGAACGAAAACATCCGGGTAGCCGCTCGAGCTCCCGGTTGTTCGGAGTGCGTTCCATCGTATGGCGCCAAGGCGACCGCCGCCAAGGAAGGCGCCATTGAAAGAACCCACAAAGGGCATGTCAGGCCAGTGTTCGCGCAAAAAGTGAGCGATTGCCTTCTGTATCTCACGCTCGCGGCGATGCCGAGAACGCGTCATGTTGAGCACGGCGCGACTGTTATGACTTTACGGAAAAAGTTTGTTTTTAGAATCGCGAGTGAGATCAATCGAATAAGTACACTATACTCCCGGTGACCACCCGCAACCATTCGAGGCGATTTGCAACGCTTTTACTGCATTTTTTTGAAAAACCCCACCCTATATGAGATACCAAGCCTGGGTATTTCGATTGCGGCTGTAAGGTCACTGTAAGACTTACAGGTAGCTGTAAGGTCAATTGAAATACCTGGCTGGGGTATATCGATTCGGGGCGGATATTTTTCACTTTAATAGTTTTCCTTAACTTATTTCGCACACATTTGCCCCCCCAACCAGTAGAGGTTGAAACACAACTTTTTTGCTTTATGAGGTGCAATATGAGGTGTGGATGGAGCGCTAATGAGTCACTAGGAGCGCCGTTCGAGGGGGCCGATAGGCGTGACACGGCTCAAATTTGGGTTAAAAACTTCGTATTTTTGGCCTTGAAATGGCAAATTTTCTTCGGGGGGGCTCTGCCCCCCCAAGCCCCCCCGCTGGGGGGGGCAAAGCCCCCCCCAGACCCCCCCCCTACACTGGAGTGGGGTGGTTTACAGGGTTGGAGAAGATATACGCTCTAGGTATAAAAGAGAAGGGAGGAAAAAAGAAAAGGCGAAGTTTTGACAACGGCGTGGTCGTCGCGCGACGGCGAAGACGGGGCAGGCAAAAAAAAATCGCGGCGCGGCCGTCGGTTGGGCGCCTGGTAAAACGACCGCACTTGAAACATGGGGCACGGTAATGGATGGGATAGGTAGAGCGGTTAGTGGTCCGAAGGAATCAAGGCAGGGCAGTGAGCTCGCAGGCTGCTCAGTCGCCGTCGCCGCATGTCAAGTCAGGACAGAGGACACGCCCGGCGGGTATCTACTGCTGCGGCGCGTGTGGCTGAATGAGGTGCAGTGTTCCCGTGTCGGGAGTCGTGGTCGACACTCTAGAGTTGACGGGGTCTAGAGTTGACGGTTGCAACTGGGTGTGCGCGAGCGGCGCCCACCTACAGTAGCGGGGGGCATGGAGATGGCTCCTGACCAACCGAGGTTCATGGACGAGACCGTGGTCGTGGAGAGCAAGGCCGTAGCCGCCAGGTTGCAACCCTTGTTCCGCACTCGGCTGTGAACGCTGCTGGTTGCCGCCGGTTGAGCAGCACCCCATCCCCGTCCACGTTGTTGGTTGCTGCCCCAGGTCCCGCACTTGCTAGCCCCGTTCAGCGTTCTCAAGGGGGGGGGGGGGGGCGGCAAAATCGTAAGTTGAGCCTCTTGGCGGCCAGCTCGAGCAACTCCCCCTTGGTGTCGGGTCGCGCGACCTTTTTGCCGACCTCCGAGCCCAGATAGATAGCGCACCGTGATCCTCGTCGGCATCCGCGCGGGGGCGCCCTGCTGCCGGCCCGGCGGCCCGCCACGTAGGTGCGACGTGCCCGCCGAAAATCAGTTCAAACGACGTTCACAGCGCCAATTTGGCCCCAGCTCTTCGGCTCGCTCCGCTCGCCGGTGAGTTGGTTGGATGCTGGCAGCACCCCAGCACCGGGGGGTCCTGAGAGCTGTTGGTTGCCGCTCGATTCATAGCACAGTGCGGAACAAGGGTTGCAACCTGGTAAAGAACCGGCTCGCAGGGCTGCCCGCCAAAAGAAAGCCAAGTGCTGAGCCAATTCTTGACTTGGGCCTCGGACGACCTTCTCTCGGAACTCGACGACAACAAAGAAAAAGGCGGACGCGGGGCAAGCGAAACCGCGCATCGCCGGGGCAAGCTGCCGGAATTCCGTGAAAAATTGCCCCGTTTTCTTCTCGCCCCCGGGAGAAGCCTGGCTTGCTGCTAGCTTGCCCTTCGAGAGTTGCCGCCCGTCCCCTCCGTCGCCGCCGTCGCACACAATGCTGGTCTGGTGGGGCGGGCGACTCTACTACTCCGACGCCTTGGTCTGGCTGGCCGCCGGCGGCATCGCGGCGAGCGCGCCCTTGGCGTGGACCGCCGGCGTGTGGCCGGAGGAGTGCCTCAGCGTCGCCGGGCTGCAAGTGCTCGACTGGTGCCTCTCCGCGACCGTGCTCCACTGCATCGTGGGCGCGTGGCTGCGGTGGAGCCTGCTGCCGGGCTGGGCGGCCGGGCGGCCGTCCTTGTACGTGCTCCGCGCGACGAGCGCGCTGGTCGGCTCCGCGTCGCTCCTCTGGCTGGTGGCGACCCTGGTGCCGCGCGCGGTGCTAGGCGTGAGCGCGCTGCTCAGCGTGAGCCTCTCCCTCAGCGGCGCGTGCTGGTCCGCCGCGCTCTGGCTGCAGCTCCAGGAGTGCGGCCTCGCGGCCGCGCTGCCGCCCTCGCTGCGCGCCGCCCTCCTCCACACGCCGCCGCTCGAGCTTCTGGGGAGGGACGCGCCGCTGGCGCAGGCGGTGGCGCGGGCGCTACAGCTCACCGGCGTGCTGCTCGTCCCCGAGGCGGACCGCGGCGCCGCGCTGCAGCGGCCAACCGCCCCTAGAAGCTGAGCACGGATCGTTGTCTTCCGACCAACACTCGCGAGGACACGCATTCGGCCGTATTCCGCTGCATTCCACTGCGGTCGCAGCCCGTGGACCCACGCGGTGCTCCGACTGCACGGCGCGATGCCGTCTTCACGACATGGCATTGGTGGCACACTAGGCTGCCACCCCGGTTTCGGGCGCGGCTGCTGCAGCGCGGGCTGCATGCAGAGCTGCCCGAGAGGTGGGCGAGTCTAGATGCGAGACTGTCCCCGTCTCTCCCCGTCTCTGCCCCCTCTCTGCCCCCTCTCTGCCCCCTCTCTGCCCCCTCTCCCCCCCTCTCTCCCCCTCTCTCCCCCTCTCTCCCCCTCTCTCCCCATCTCTCCCCATCTCTCCCCGTCTCTCCCCGTCTCCCCCCGTCTCCCCACACCTCGAGGCCTAGATGTGGGAATACAGGTAGATGGGAATACAGGCCCGTGTGTTCCGATGAGAGGACACGTACTCAGCTGTCTCAGTTGTCGCCCTCACCTCTGCCTCCCTCGCCGCCGCCCTCACCTCCGCTTCCCTCACCTCTGCCTCCCTCGCCGCCGCCCTCACCTCCGCCCCCGTCTCCTTCTCCAGTAGTCGTGACCTCGCATGCCGTAGGCTCTCGGAGCTACTTCGACCGTGGGAGAGCGGGCCGGGGTACTTGCGCGTCTCGCCGCTCGAGGAGGCGATCCCCACGCTCGGCGGCGGAGACGGCGGAGCCGGCGGAGACGGCGGCGGCGGCACAGGCACTGGTGGCAGCGCTGGCGGCGGCAGCCGCATCGGCGGCGTGGGCGGCTCAGCTGCTGGCTCGGCTCGCGGCGGCGGCGGCGAGGCGAGCACCGCACCTGGCGCCGCCCCAGGCGCCGCCCCAGGCGCCGCCCCAGGCGCCACTGGGGGGTGCGCATCGCAGCTGCCGCCATGGAGCGCGGGCGAAGCTCCCGAGTGGCTACTGCTGTTTGTGCTGCGCCAGCACGCGCTGCGCTTCCTCGGAGGCGGCGCCGGGCTGCGCCGGCTCCGCAGGCTGGGCTGGGGCGCGGCGCGGGCGGTCGCCCTGGCGGCCGTGGCGCTGCTGCTCGTGCGGAACCGCAGGCGGTTGCGCGGCTTGCTCCCGTCGGGGCTGCGCCAGTGGCTGCTCATGGCGACCGCGGTCGCGCTGGCGCGACACACGCTCGGGCAGCAGCAAAAGGACCGGCACCGGTGAGGGGAACGTTCCCGCTGTTCGCGTTTGCATTTTCTTTTTTCGAGAGAGATGTAAGTTGTAGCATGTACCTGACGAAAACCTCTCCCGGGCCTTCCGCACTCTTTTAAATTTAATGTGTGCCGTCCGTGGGCGTGGGGCTCTCCTTCGATCTCGTCCTGACTCCTCGTGTCGTCTATAGACGCGTGGAGTTGCGAGGGACGCCCCCCTTGCCCCACCACCTTATGTGTGTGGAGAAGTTTACCTTCATTACCCTTAATATAACTTTATGGCAAGGGCTGAGGTACAGGTACGGCTTTAGCAGGCACGTGTTGAGGTTCACGCGCCTGAGCAAGACAGGTCTAATGCGCGCATCCGGACCGAGGTGGAGACCGAGGTGGCCCCTCCATGGTAGTAGTTGCAGTAGCCGTTGAAGCCATTCATCCGGCAGCACCCCGTGCCCGTCAGCCCCTCCAGGCGCGCGTAGCGCGCGCACGCGTCGTAGCAGGCGGAGTACTGCCCATCCCCAAGGAGAAGCGTTGCGACGGTCGTTGCTTCTCCGGAGCACATCTTGCTCCGCCCCGCCTCGAGGTCGGCGCCGCTGCCGCTACAAGTGAAGGTGAACGGTGCCACGTACTTGTCCACCGTCGTCGCAAAGTAATAATCCGAGTACGTCTCGTCCGTCTTCGCGCTGCTGGCCTCGAACCAGCCGCTATAATACTTGCACCGTCCATTGAAGGCGTTCAAGAAGCAACATCCGGCGCTCTCTTGCACACCGACAGCAGTGGCAGCCTCGCACGCAGCCTCGCAGGCGGCCGCGCCATTCGCTACGCCCCCGCTTACTCCAGTGTCGACAACTGCCACGACGTATTCATCATCGTTGCCCCCAATGCTCTGAATGTGACCGTCGCACTGGCTATGTTCCGTGAATGCTGCGATTGCCACCGAGTAAGCCGTGCACTGCGAGGCACCGGCGTCAGACGTGGTGCCCGCGCTGCACGCCGTGCACGTCGGGTATTTAACAGCGTCGCCTTGGTAGCCCGCCTGGCACTCGCACCCGACGCTGCCTTCCTCGCAGATGGTGTGATCGCCGCAGTCGTGCCAGGAGTTCTTCTTCTTCTTACGCCACTGAGGAGTCCCATCCGCTTTTTGGCGGCACTGTCCATTTTTGTAGTAATTACCTGTTGCCCGTGCGCGCCTCACAAGCTCCTCGTCGTAGCTGTAATCGTGGGATGCAAACTGGAGCGCGAGACCTGGGAGCCGACCGAGGGCAGAGCGCTCTTGCGGCAAAGGGACTGGCGGGGCGATAACCGACCTCGCGACCGACACGGCCAGAACGAACTGCCGCAGCATATCTGTCGGAGCGTCGCCGCAAAAGGTCGCGCGAGATGAAGAGGCGAAGACGGCGAAAAGCGCGGCGCGGCGGGCAGGTTCTGAAGCGGGGGGGCTGCTCCCCTCCCCCCCTCGGAGGGCCGGACTGAGGCGCCGGATGCATTGGTAAGCGAGCGAGTGAGAACACCTGCCAAGCGAGTGAGTGAGATAGGGGCTCAGACAAAGCAAGGACCACAGGCAAGAACAGCACCAGAGTGGTGTAACGCGAACACGCCACACATGCTCTGCCACTGATGCATGCTACATGCGCTGTGAGCCTGGCAAGTGCGAGCGGGTTGGGGGGGCGACCGGAGGAGGGCGGGGGCGGAGTGAGAAGGGCGCTGCGCGGCGGCCGGCGCGCCTCGAGCCCAACGTCGTCGGACATCTCTGCGAGACGCTGCTGCTGCTCTCGAAACCCGGCGCACAGTCAGGTGCAACTGGAGACACCGACGATGCACAATTGATTGCAAATAGCAAAAGCGTCCGCCCCAAGTCTTGATTGGTCGTGATTTCTCGATGTTGACTAGTGTGGGACCTGCAGCGGGTACCCGCATTTTTCTCCTGGCACAGAGGTACTCACTTATCCTCCACCGACGTTCGAGTGTGGAGAGTGCTGCAAACTGCATCGCGATTTACCTCGCTCGTAACATTTTAGAGAACATTTTTCGTAATTAATAATTCGTAATGTAAAGCTCTTCCGATGTTCCATTCCAGCCAGGCTCGAGTCTCAGGCACCGTCCACAGTCTCACAGGGGGTCGGTGCTTGATCCGGCGCCCGACGCCCGGCGTTGCGAGGCACGCGGTGTGCCCGACGGGTTCGCGCGGTCGCGGCGAAGGCTAAAGAGGCAGTCCTTCAGAGTCCTTCAAACGCTGGAATGCCTCGTTCTGCTTTCGCGTCGAGCCCTCCAGCTCGCCGCCACCTCCGTGGTCGCGGAACCACCGCGCACGCTCCTGCAGGAACTCGTCCTCAATGTCAAAGTCCGTGGCTACCGGTGCGGGCGAGAGCGGGCGTTGCATTTGCTGCTGTCGGCTGAATGATGCTATGGTCCACTCGCAAGTCACTGGCACCGTCGCGCCTCTCGGCACCTCGTCCCAAGGCCGGCCGTAAAATAAGGAGATGCGCCCCTGCAACTCCAGCGCGCGCTCCTGGTCGAGCTCATATGCGTCGCTGTCGTCAGGCGCCTCCTCGCGTGGCCGCCTCACTGGCGAGTCTGGGGTAGGGCAGAAGTTATCCCCGTAGGCGGGCGAGCCAGGCGGTGTCGGACCTCCACCGCCTGGAGCAAGCTGCGCCTCGAGCCATGCCTGTGACGCCTCTGAACCCGGGTCGCGCAGGTATGCATCGGCCTCAGCAGCATCGCCCGTGTAAGCTTGATACGCGCAAGAGAAGTTTACACGGCGGGTGCGAAAGTTGGCAATGCTGCCACGGCGCACGGGTGGAGAGCCTGGAGAGGCCCCAATCACCAGTCTCAGAATCTGGCGCCCAAATTTTCTCTGAAGCGTGTGCGAGGTCGTCTTGCTTCTCTCGCTCAATCCGCTCGGCACGCTCGAGTTTAGCCCGCTCCTCATGCCGATCGGCCTCGACGCCATCCCAGCCCTCCGGCACCCAATCCCCGCCTGACGGCTGCCCATCGTTGGCGCGCGGCTCCAAAAGCGCCTCGTCGAAGTAGTCGCAGGTGACTCCGGGCACGTCTGGGGCGATGCCTACGCCATCGTAGGTGCACGTGCACGCACCCTCGCACATGCAACCGTCCATGACCATGTACTCGAGCCGGGCGCGCTCGTACCACGTACGCTTCGGAGGCGCGCCACTGGGTGATGCGTTCACCGTCGATCGGCTGTCCAGCTTGCTGTGGGTCGAGCAGCCAGTCGCGGAAATCCTCAACCTCCACCACGCCGAAAAAGAAAGAAAGAACGCAAGAAAGCAGACAACCCAAGGGAGGGATGGGAGGACGGCACGCCGCCACCACACAGGGATTTTAAGGAGAGGTGTGTGGTCCACCACGCCGAGAGCTGGCCGCTCGCGTAGTAAAATTCTTTGAAAAAGTCGGCGCGCCAACGGCGTCCTCTCGGCGTCCTCCGGCCCCTGCTTTTCAATACACCAGCCCTGCTTCGACGATGGGCGCTGAAGAGTCCAAACCTGCGGCGCCACCCGGCGAAGTCAGCGAGAGAATAAACTCCGTGGAACTGAGCGAGCTTCGGGTCGCATTCTCCACCCTCGCGCCTGACGGAGCGCTGACGGCCGAGGCGCTCACGTCGGCACTTCCACCCGTGCTGCCGTGGGAGGAGCTTCATCGCGTGCTGCTTGAGGCGGTAGCGGCGCGCGGCCACCCCGGCGGAGGTCTTGGATTCGACGCCTTTGTCCTCGGTCTCGCTCTCACGGTGCGCAGTCGGCAGAGCGCGCGGCAGCGCATGGGCCTCCTTCGCTCCCTGTACGCCGGAGGCGACCGCGATGGCCCGCTCGGCGCGGACCGCCTCACCGCTCTTCTCAGCGGCGCGATGCGGGCTTCGGGAGGCGGCGCGGGCGACGACACGGCTCTGGGCGCCGCCGTCGCGGACGCGGCCGAGCTGCCTGCAGCAGAGTGGGATCGGTGGGCGGCAGACCAGCTGCCGGCGCTGGGCACTGCCTTTGAGACGAGCGTCATCGAGGCGCTCTGTGCCGTCGGGCGTGCGGGGCCTCCCTCCGGATGCCTCTCCCCGATGACGCGGCCTCCGCTGCTGAGCTACCAGAGCGACGCGCAGCAAGAGGCTCGCCCTCTGCCCTCCCCGCTCCCTCTCCTCGGTCCTCTGCCTGGCTCCCGCCTCAACATCCGGCCTGCCTGCTCCCTGCGTGCTGTCTGCTATAGCCGCAGCCTCCGCATCCGGCCTGCCTGCGTGCTGCTATAGCCGCAGCCTCCGCATCCGGCCTGCCCGCGTGCTGCTATAGCCGCAGCCTCCGCATCCGGCCTGCCTGCGTGCTGCTATAGCCGCAGCCGCAGCCGCTCAACAGCTGCTCCGTGTGGACAGAGTTCGCACACCGAGTAGCTGGGAGCTCCGCGACTCTGAGCCCCGCGAGACTTCACCGAGTCGGCCGGGGCCATACCAGACAGGCCCTGCCTGTAGGGCTCTCTCCTCACTCCGGGGCTGGCGTGGCTCTGCGCGCTCACCCTCGGCCCCGCAGACGCCGGAGAGCCGTCCCTCGTGGCGCCGCCTCTCCCCACAGCCTCCCTCTGATTGGTCTGTCGGCGTTCTTCTCTAGGAGCGCCCTCGCTGTGTTGCGCCGCCTCTCTGGCATGTCCACGACACGTCCATGACACGTCCGAGACGTGTCTCAGGAGAGCCCCGCTCGTGGCGCTGCCTCTACTCGAGCGCCGCGCAGGGGCAGGTGCGCAGCTCTCGCCCCCGCCTCGCCACGTGCAGCCACGGCGTAGTAGCAGCAGCAGCAGGAGCAGCAGGAGCAGCAGGAGCAGCAGTAGTAGCAGTGTGGTAGTGTGGTAGTCACGGCCCAATTCCACGCGCTGCATGCCACGGCGCAGTGACGCGTCCGACGACGTGATGCCACCAGGCGCTCTCCCGCTTCTCGACCTTTGTGGGCGGCTACACGGGCCCGACACTGCTGGTCGCGCGCTGCGCGCCGCTCTCCGACAAGGGCGAGGAGGAGGGCGTGGTCTTCGGCAGCCGACACTAGACACCTACACACCTCGTCGACGCCTAGAGCCGCCTAGACACCTCCTACTACACAGCTCCCCAGACACCTCGCTGGCACCTCCTAGACACCTCGTTGACACCTCGTCGACACCTCGTTGACACCTACACTCCCCTCGGCCTGCCGGCAGGCGCCTCAGGCAGAGCTCCTAGACACTTTCTAGACGCCTCTCCCTCGGCCCGGCAGGCGCCTTTGTCGACTCCGCGTGGAAGCCCACCGACAAGTACTTTGGAGGGGCGGGCTGCGCGCTCCTCCAGCTGGCGCCCGCCTTCCACGTCCACCGCCCCACAGGCATCTCGCGCAACTTCGCATTCTTCAACCTGCCCGCCGACCGCGCAGCCACCTTCCGCGCGCGGGGCGGGGCGCAGCTCCCCGAGGGAGTCGCATTCGGAGGGCAGATTGGCACCTTCCGCCTCCGGCTCGACGATGACCTCAGCAGGCCTGCGAGCACACCAGCCGCACCCTCACGACTCACTCCGCCGGGCCTTGCGAAAGGAATGCATAATATAAAAAGGAATGCCGTGCGGGGGCCTCCCGGTCTTCGGACGTTGAGACGTGGGGGGTAGTCTGGCCCTTGCCCCACCACCTCTGTCCGTGTGGAAGCGTGCCCCGTGACGGACCTACGCCCCCCCCCCCCCTCCCCTCCCCGGCAGGCTGAGCTGGCTGCACTCCGACACAACCTACGCGCCGCACGAGTCGCGGCGGCTGGCCGAGGGGGCGCGGCGCGTCGCGGCGGTCGAGGTTTGGGGCTGTGGCCGTGAGCAGGACCAGGCGGCCCAACTCGCGCTCCAGCGGCGGCGCGAGGCGGACGCGGCCAAGGCAGCCCTGCTAGACAGTGGCGCGTACACACCGCTCGCACGCACGCACGCACGCACGCACACACGCACGCACGCACGCACACGCACACACGCACACGCACACACGCACACGCACACACGCACACGCACACGCACACACGCACACGCACACGCACACACGCACGCACACACACACAAGACACTCTGCCAGCGGGGCTTAGCGCACCTCCATGGCCGCCTTGGCGGGTAAGGCCAGGTAAACTTCGCCACACACACAACGGTGCTGTGGCAAGGGGGGGGGGGGGGGGGGGACCCTCGACCAGGCAGGGGCTGGCACGGCATTCAGTGTGCAAGGCCCGGCGCGCGTGGGTGAGCAACTTGCCCCTCCCTGCCCCCCAAACCGACTAGGCGGGGTCGCTCACGCTCGAGACACGCAAGAAGATGGCGGGCGGCGACGCGGCGACGCGCTTTGTCCTCTCTGCGGCCGGCGCGCACGACTTCAAGGGCGAGGAGCTCAAGGCGAGTGAGGAGCGGCTGGCGCGCGAGCGAGGGCACGAGTAGGGCACGAGTAGGAGTCGGTGTGGCGTACCACAGCGGGCGGGTAGGCAGGACACACAGTCTACAAAGGTTGTACCCGGCTGTCGGGTGGTGGCGGGGTGAGATGTCCATCGCGCATCGGTCTCTCGTGCGCGCCGGTATGGCTTTACCTCGACACACCCCATGGGGGGGGGTTGGGCCGGCCGCGCGTGTGCGCGCGCCGTGGCGTGGGGGGCACAGTGCAGCGCCGACCTCACCGCCCCGCGCCGAGGGGGTCGAGGTCTCGCGGGATAGACCTCGACGGACGGCGCTCGAGAGCGACCCGCGAGGCGCGATCTGGCGCGCGAGACCGAGAGCCCGAAGGCGAAGCGCGCGGGGCCGCGCGCGGCCGTGCGGGTGGGGTGGCGCGTGTGGCGGGCGCCGGGAGAAATGGTCAAATGATCAAATGATGAGAGTGTCTCTCCTACGGGCAACTGGTCTACAGCACGGAACCTCATACTCGCGTTTCAGCCACACGTTTTATGCTCGCAGCGCCAGACAGCACCTCTCGTCGTGTCTGACTGTCTGTCTCTCTCCAACACCCACCCCAGTACCGAGTAAGCCACCAGCCAAACCACGGGTGTGTCGTTCGCATAAATGCGGGCCGGCCTCCTCGGTCCGCGCTCACGCGCCTCAGACGCAGAAGGAGCCCTGGCAGAGCGACGGCACTTTAGTGTCCGCCTTGCTCGAGTAGACGTCGTCCACTGTCGGAGGCAGCTCGACGTCGTTGAGGTACACGTCTAGCGCGTTGGTGGCCGAGGCGAAGCGCGCCTTGGCCTCAGCCGCGTTGTTCTGGCGCATGGCCCGCTGCAGCTTCTCCACCTCGGAGAAGAAGGCCTTGGCCTCCTTGACCTGCTTCACCTTCTCGGGCGGCTTGCCCGAGTCGAGCCGAAACGCGTTGCCGAGCAGAAACATCGAGAGCTGCAGGTCCTCCCAGCGCGAGGAGTACTCCTCCTTGACCTTGCAGTTGTCTGACATCGCACAGCCCGACTTTTGCCTCGCCGACGTGCTCACGATTGTCTGCGAAAAGAAGGCGGTGACGGGCTGTGACTTGAAGTCGCCCTTCTCGACCGCGCCGCCCATGTTGAGAAACTCAAACACACCCTGCTTGACGCGCCCAAAGTAGCGGCGCTTGGCGACCGGGATCGTGGTGTACTTTCCCGCCGTCGCGCCGCCGCTCGCGCTCGCAGCCAAGGGAAGGCCGGCCAGAATCGATCCCGCCGCAGAGACGGCCACGGCGTCGAGCAGCGCGCGCCGGCCGGCAACAGCGACTGCTGCAGGGCTGCGCCCAGCCGTTGCGGCGTGCAGTGCTGAGCCTGCACGAGGCGGCACCGCGCTGCTGTAGCTCGGAGCGGCGGCGAGAGAGATGCAGAGCAACGACATTGAGCAGTCGGAGAGATCTCTTGCGGCAAAGAATTCGTGCTGTTAACGCGCTGGCGTCCAGTCCTCTCTCACCTCCCTTGGGTTGTCTGTTTTATTTCTTTCTTCAGTCTTCTAGGTTTGTTGTTGGCAAATCAAGACACGGAGCTCAGCCTCTAAATGCCCAGGCTTTTCCAGTGGAGCATAAACGCAGTTTGTTGGCGTCAGAGGAGGAGGATGGCAGCTTCGCACGAGTCCATCGACGTCACGACGATCAACTGGGCCGAGGACGCGGCGCGCGAGCTGAAGGCGCACGTGTACACGACGCTCAAGCTCCCTCCCGACCTCGGGAAGCGCGTCCAGCAGCTCTACGGCGATGCCGAGAGAGCGTTCGACGACCGCGCGTCGAGGCGGCAGCTGCGGGTGCCCGAAGACGACCGGGACGACCTGGACGCGCGGAACGGCTTCATCGACGACCGGAAGCGCGAGTGGCTCGAGCTGCACACCTCTATCCCCGCCGACTTTGGCGGCCCGGTCGACGCGCCTCCAGCCACGCGCCTCCTCGAGTGCGCCTGCGCGGTGGAGCACGCCTTTCGCGCCCTGTGCCAGCAGGTGCTCGAGGTGCTCGCGCGTTCTTCGCCGCCGCTCGCGGCGCTGGTGGCGGAGGAGGCTCGCTCTCCGCTGCCGCCGCCTGGTGCGCGCGAGAGCTCGCGAGGCTTTGCCGAGTCGATGCTGCGCGTGTACAGGCAAAGCGAGCGCCGCCACGCGCCGCCTCGCTCCGCGCACGAACACCGCGCGCGCGCGGTTGTCGTCGCAGGTATGACTCCAGCTTCCGGCAGCGCGAGGGCGAGGGCCACTACGACATGGGCCTCCTCACCCTCATCCCGCGAAGCACCAGCCCCGGCCTGCAGATCAACGAGGTAAAGACCTCCCCACCTGCCCACCCACCCTCCCCTGGCCCTTCAGCTAGACCTCCCCACCCACCCGCCCACCCACCTTCCCCTGACCCTTCAGCTCGGCTGAAGGCGTCCCCCCCCCCCCCTGCCCGGAAGTGTAGGAACTGCCGCCACTCCTTTTTCTCTTTCGGGCTCGGGCAGTCCCACGCACACGGCGCAGGCTAGCCTGGTTTCACCCACCGGAATGTCGCCCCGCAATTGCGGCACTGTGGTCTTG